CCTCCAGGACAGATCTGTTAGTTCTTTTAGCAGTCCATGGTACTTTCAGCATTCTTCGCCAGCACCACAACTCAAAAGCATCAACTCTTCTTCAACAGTGTTTCCATAGTGCAGTCTTTATGCAGGCAGACTGCCACATCTTTCCCCTGCAGAGAAGGTGGTGGCTTGAAACTGCTGACCTTTCGGTTAGCAGTCGAGCCTTTAATCACTGCAATACCAGGGCTCCTAGTCTCTGCCACCCCCACTCTCCACCAAATCTCCCAACTGAACCAAATCCATATGTTTTAAAAGGTTTGTCCACAGATAAAAGCTTGACTTCTGGCTTTATGATTTGGGGCAAGATCCTTGACAACTGTGGCCCCAGTTTCCTTATCTAAAAGATGAGTATAGTGACAGTGATGATAATAATAATAAGAAGAACAACAACAACACAGCTGCCATGGAGTCAACTCTGACAGATGGTGAGCCCATGGGAGTCAGTCTAACTGTGCTTCATAGGGTTTTCAATGGCTGATTTTTTAGAAGTGTGTCTCCAATCTTTCTTCCAAGGCTTCTCTAGGTAGATTCAAACGTTCAACCTTTCAGTTCGTAGCCAAGCACAGTTTGTAGCCTAGTACCTACTTTAATAGGAGTGAAAGAATTAAATGAGATAGGAATGTTCTCAGCATACTGTCTGGCAGCCAATAATAACTTGGTAAATGCTAAGTATTTTAATTGTATTAAGTCCCAGAGAAACAAGCAGCTAAATGCATTGCTTTAATTTCCTTCGTTTCTATGTCCCTGCTCACCCTTTGAGAATAACTATATAAACCACATATTTGTGAAAAATGATACTTAAAAATCTCAAGGTTGCCTCTGACTATACTTTTTCATCATATAGTATTATGTTTACAAGTGAATACTCTGTAAAATAGACATATTAAAAGTGATATGAGCATTCATTCATCAGACATTTGAATGTCCATTCTATGAAGTGTCATGGAATCTGAAATATAGCACTTTACTAGGATGCTCATTTTGTGTTTACTTTTCTGAGTTCCCCATTAATCTGTAAAGTCCTTAAAGGAAGCCTAAGGATATCTGGTATAACACTATATCTTTATCTTTACCTATACAGGTACTTACTGTAATTATGATAATTTTAAAAAATACAAATAATTTCTTTTAAATTATGCCATGATATTTTTTTATCAAGGAAAACCTATAGTCAAGTGATTAATATGTAATATTCTTAAATATGAAAATATTTAATGTAAGTTTACATTTGTCTGTTGGTTGGAATTTTTAGAGTGAACTGTGCTCAGATAAACTAAGAAGTATTAATTATTTGAGTTTAGAATGCATTTTGTATCTAATATTTGAATATGAATATGCCTGATATTTTGGGAAGTTGCAATACTTTGTACTATAAATGAAGGCATGTACAAAATATAGCATATAGGAGGAAAATTATTAAGTTTCTAATTCAATTTAATATATTTTTAAGAGTATACTCATGTATAAAGTTCAAGTCTAGGATATTTAATATCATTGCAGCAAAGCATGTGATTGAAACTGATAGTTCTATACTATGTGATTAAAAGTTAGGTCATTAAAATTATGTTGCAGTTCTCATAGTTTCTCTTGGTTGTCAGTTGTTGTTATTCATTCCTGTCAAATTGGCTCTGACCTATGGCAATCTTATGTATAACAGAATGAAACCTTGCCACCCCCTGCATCATCTTCATAATTGTTGGTGTGCTGAGTCCATTTTGGCTTTTGTTTTAATCTATCTCATGAAGGATTTCCCTAGATTTTGCTTACCCTCTCCTTTACTGTGGTAGTTAAGGTTCTGTGTCAACTTGTTTGGACTGTGGGTTTGAGTGGCTGGACAGGTGGATGTAGTTATTCCCCATGATGAGATTGTAATCAGCTCCATGGGGAATCTGCTGTGAGATGTTAATCAGTGGGAGGGGAATTGCCTTCAGGATGCAGCATGCTTCCATTATGTGAAGAAGCTTTGATAAAGGTGTCTAGGTTTGGCACATCAGAATCATACATTTGACCTAGTCTTCATCTCAGTGGCCTGTGCAAAAACGGCAAGGAGGCCACATGTTCTGACCTCCTCTAACCCTACAAGGGGAAGGCAGGATTACCAGCAGTAACCCAAGGCCTATTACTGCAAG